TTTATACTATAAAATAATTTTTTACAATTTAATACTCACTTATTTTAAAATATAATAGTATTATCACATTTTATTATTTTTATAAAAAATTAAGAATAAAAAATTTTAAATAAAAAATTATTACTATTATTAATCTATTTTTATAATTATATTTAATGGGTCACACTATGTGCAGTATGAGCACCAAACCAAATCTCCAGGTGTTCTCATGAGAACCAGACTGAAAAACTTATGTGCACCCCTGTCGATAGACTGATATTAAAAATTAAATAAATAAAACAAAACACTAAAAAACAAGTATCATTTCTTAATTTAGGAATTACAATATTATATTAAAGCTGCAAGCAGCGATGAAAGGGCCCTCGCACCCGGGCTCACCGCGAACCAGACGGAAAAACTTATGTGCACCCCTGTCGATAGACTTATATTAAAAATTAAATAAATAAAACAAAACACTAAAAAACAAGTATCATTTCTTAATTTAGGAATTACAATATTATAATATACAATATGAAAATTAGATATTCATTTTGAGATTTCTTAAAGATGACATTCAACAGTGTTATTAAATCATTAGTGGGTTTTAAAGAGTAACTTTAAAGTAAGAGTATTTAAAATAATCTCCAATAACAGATGATAACCTGATAAAGTTATATATATATATATTTCTAAAAGTATTAAATATATGCATTAAATTGATCAAAAGTGTCAGTAAAGACATTAACAATGTTATAAAAGATTTCCATTTCAAATAATTGTAGCTATTTTGAACATTCAAAAAAGAATCCTGGAAAAAAAATGTATCAATTATTTCTGAAGGATCATGTGACACTGAAGACTGGAGTAATGATGCTGAGAATTCAGCTTTGATCACGGAATAAACTACATTTTAAAATATATTCTAATAGAAATAATATTTAGAATAATATTTTATGAAATAATAATATTACACAATATTAGAGTTTTTACTGTATTTTTGATCAAATAAACGCAGCCTTGGTGAGCATAAGAGGCAAAATAAATAAAAAATATGAATTAAAAAAATCTTACCAACCCCAAGCTTTTAAATAGTAATGTATATGTGACCCTGGACCACAAAACCAGTCATAAGGGTACATGTTTTTGAAATTGAGATTTACACATCATCTGAAAGCTGAATAAATAAACTTTTCATTGATGTATGGTTTATTAGGATATGACAATATTTGGCTGAGATACAACTATTTGAAAATCTGGAATCTGACGGTGCAAAAAAAAAATCCAAATACTGACAAAATCGCCTTTAAAGTTGTCCAAATGAAGTTCTTAGCGATGCATATTACTAATCAAAAATTAAGTTTTGATATATTTATGGTAGGAGATTTACAAAATATCTTCATGGAACATGATCTTTACTTAATATCCTAATGATTTTTCGCATAAAAGAAAAATCGATAATTTTGACCCACACAATGTTTTTTTGGCTATTGCTAAAAATATACCCAAGCGACTTAAGACTGGTTTTGTGCTCCAGGGTCACATATGGTCCTGAAGTATTGCGCACTTGATACACTAATGTGCTTTACAAACATAAAATACAGTTTTATATGATTTAGAAGTTTAACACACAACTTATTCTCATTAAAAGAATGAGAATAACTGCAATTGTATTGCTGAGAAAAGAGTGTTTTGTCTGTGGTAAAGACTCATGGTAAAATGCTTTATATCATAACCCAACAATAAATAGCCACAATTTCGAGCTAGTATCTCTGAGAGTGGCTGAAAATAAAACATAGTGAAGAAACTACAAACCCACAGGGTTTCAGCTGAAATGAGGTGGGTTTATAACCATTTTGCCTTTTGGGTTTCCCAAATAATCAGTCACTGGAAGAGAGTGACATTTACAGGGCACTTACGTCCTCTTTTAGATGGCCCATAAATATCAAAAGCAAGTGTCCTCACTTGTGCTTTACTGAGGGCTGAATTAACCCTATAATGGAAGAACAGAGCATCAATACAACAAATGATACTAATTATCTCAGATCACCTAAACAAATATGGTACAAACGGATTTACCACACAAATGAATCCGTCATCAGCGACTCCTACCCTGGGCTACAGGTGTCAAACAATTCAGAGCTCAAACCATTTAAGTCTTACTGAAAAACAGACACACACACATAAAGGGCGCGAGAAGTCCTGCCGGGTCTCCAGAGGTCTGACTTACTGGTGAATGGCTTGAAGGAACTTGCGCTGATGTTTCCTGACTTTAGAGTGGTCCATCTTCCTCACCAGCTTGGTGTTTTTATAAATGAGCCACGTCTCCCTGAGAACATTAGCAGCTGTGTTTTTCACCTGTGGGAGAGTTAGCATTGTAGCATTCAGCGCTCGGTCCTGCTGAGGCGTCCTGGGCCCCGATGTTTGAACGTGGCTTACTTGGTTTGCATAATAAGTTTCAGGACAGCGTAAACTTGGGATATCTACTGGAATAGTTGGCTTGCTAGCAATCAGGTCTAAGATATGTTGTTTTCTTATCTCGAAATGTGATTTAGCTGCACTTTTCAATGCGATAAAGTAAATAGGACAGGTGCTCAGAGACGGGCGCTCCAAAAATGTCAAAAAATGACCATAAAAGTTTGACCAAAACATAGCAGATGGGACACTGTTTGGGAAACCTGTTTGAAAAAAATATATTTTGGTAACACTGTAGAGCTTCAAAGTTGGGTTCTGGAAGTAAAAATCCCATTTATTTTCTCCATAGAGCAACTGATTTTTAACAATAACTTATAAACCTTTAAAGACAGACCTACAATGAGCTACGAGGTTGTTAATCGATGGTATATGTTTCTGCTGAAGCCATCGGCCCACATTATTCAACGTTTTT